CGGGGGCTAAGCCGGCGGCAGGGGTAAGGGCGGCCCGGTGCGCTCCCATTGCCAGCCTGTCCGGGCTCGGGGCCTTCCCGGTGAATCCCGAATCCCCCCCGACCCGACACAAAACCACTCGGTCGGTGCTCGAGGCTGGCACTGATGGAGATGAGCCGCCCAGCTCGCGATTCCTGCCAGAGCATCTCTTGGGGAAGCTGCTGCTGGAGTGAGCTCGGGGTGGATTTGGGAGCAGGAAACACCCGCTGCCTCCCCCGTGCCGCCCTGGGGAAGCCCCACTTTCTCTCCGAAACTCCGTCTGGCTCCGATGCACTTTCTCTCGGCGCGGGTGAAACCGACCCTGGTGCTGCCGCCGCCGCGGGCGCGCAGGGATGTCGCTCACGGACACCCGCAGCCCCTGTCCGTCCCACTCTAACCCGCTCCTTCCCACTGCTGCCTGCCTGCTCCCCCCATCCTGGAGGTCTCGAGCCCTGCCTCCCCCTCTCCCCATCCCTCCCTTTGCAAAGATTAAACTGTTCCATTTTTACACCGAGGCTCCTCTCGCAGCCCTTGTGACCCGCCGGAGCCCGGGGCAGCGCTGCGTTCCGGGCACGGTCACACGGCAGCGACTCCCAGCGCTGCTCTCCCTTCATTCCAGAGCGCTCTGCCTGGCAGCTCTCCTGGATTTTCCAGTGCGTTTTTCTGCTGTAAGCTGTGTGGGGGTAGAAGCGGCCCCTGGAGCTCAGTGAGACGCCCCAGCAGCAGATGAAGGGCCATGAGGGGGCACATCTCTGCCGCAGGACCTTTGGGGATTCCTCCAGCAGCCAGAGCCCCGCGCAGAACACCCTTTGTGTGCCCCAGAGAAGGAGCAGGATCCACAGCAGACAGGGAATTATCTGCTTTCCAGATGCTCCCCTCCAGCGGCAGCGACCCTCTAGGCATATGCTGACCTTCCCAAGACCATGTCCATGTTCTGCAGGACTTCTGACCCTCTCACCCCCTCCAGCACTCACCGAGGTCACTGCTCCAGCAGCATCCTCCAGCTGTGAGTTCCACGGCTGGATCTGCACGTGCTAAATTACTTCTTTTCTTCTGTTCAAACTTGCTCTTTTCAGTTTCAGTACCTGTTCCCCTTTTCCCCGTGTGCTGACTGGGGCAGACTCCAGCAGACAGCTGCTGCTTGCTGCTCACCCTGCTCTACAGTCCTTGCAGTCAAATTCTCATAGTCCCAGCCATCCTTCACTTCCTTCATCATTCCCCTTTCTGTTCTCCTTACTCTGTTCACTCACTTTTACCCTTCTCCCTCATGAAAACAAGTCTCACCGACCACTCCTGGGGGTCTTTCTAGCACCTGTGGGCAGCCACAGCATTCTCCTCTCTCACCTGTCCTTTCTAGCAGAGCTTTGAGCTGTGGGACAACCTGCAGCCCCAGACCACAGAGCAGCCTCACATCTCCCCCTCACATGTCCCAGCAGCCACCGAAACCTCTCTCCACAGCCGAGCCTCAGGTTGCAGAAAGCAGCCCAAAAGCATCTCTGTTGGACCGGCGGGGAGGGGATCTGCTCTGGCATCCCGGGCTCTGCCTAGCAGAGCCCTCCGGGGCGGCACCAGACGCCAAACCGGTTCTATTCGGCTCGTTCCCTCTCGGTTTTGGCTTCCCTGCCAAGGAGAGGCTGCGGACGCGCTTCTCAGGGCAGCGTTTATTGAACCGGCGGCGATGGGACCCCTCGCACAGAGCATCCCCGCCGCATCCCTAGGCTAGAGCGGCCAGCAGCCGGGCCCTGCGCTCAGAGCCAGCCCAGCAGCAGCGTCCCGGCCAGCACGGTGGCCAGCAGGCCGGCCGGGGGCGGCGGGGTGGCCCCCGCGCCGTTCCGGGAGCCCCGAGCCGGCCCGTTGCAGTCGTCGCTGAAGCAGCAGCGCACGGTGGCCCCGCCGGAGCCGCCGCGGCGAGCCTGGTCACAGAAGGACTTGTAGGAGCAGGACTTAATGACGCTGTCTGCAAGGAAAGGCAAAGTGACAGGGGGTCAAAGACAAGGAGCGCCTCAGTGCAGCACAGTGCAACGCAAGAAGGAGCCACCTCCTGCTCCGCCTCAGGTCCCCGGCTTCTCCTCGCCCTCCGGACCTCTGAGACCTTCTGGTCTTACCCCCCTTCTCCCCCTGGAGCCCCCCGGCCCCCCGGCCAAGGCCCTTACTGGGTGCAGTGATGGTGGAGCAGGCGTCGGCGTACTGGGGGCAGCTGTGGGATCCCTGCTGGTTGCAGTCGTTCTCGTTGGATGCGACACATTTGTGGCATTTCAGAGCTTTGCCTGCGTGAAGGTGAGGAGGAGGAGGAGTGAGAGTGATAGCAATGCACTGTCCCAGAGCCCCCAGTGCCCTGACAGTCTGTGGGTCTCCACCCCAGGGACCTGAGGGGGGTCACAGGTGAGGGTTGGCACCAGACAGATTCGAGCCATCAGTAGGTGCTGCCATGGCATGCAGCAGGATGCAGGATGGGGCCTCACCTGTCCATAAAATTAATGCAAAACTCTTCCTAGTGTGACTCAAAATGATGAGAGCCAAAACGGGCAGGTGAGCTCAGCTGAGTCCTTGCCCTGCAAAGACTCCCTGAGAGCCCTGGAATTCCTTTTACAGTAAAAATAGGTAGACATAATATTTAAAAACCATCCTAGATCTTTGTCTTCTTGTGCCAGATCTCATTTTAATAAGAATTTTGGGGGGGAGAAGGGAGAATCCATCCAACCTGTGGGAGAAGCTCCCAAATTTTACCCTGCACTCTGGAAGCTCAGCCCGAGGGTGCTGCGTGGGGACAGGCAGGGTGACAGTGCCAGGCAGCTGCAGGAGGGATGAGCCATCTCCAGATCGTCCTTTAAGGACCCCGCAGGCAGGTTAGATAGCAGCCAGAGCCGATAGTGCTACAAGAGTTGTGTGACCCCTCAGAGCTTACACACACCCCAGAAAAACCCAGAGCTGAAGATCCTGCTCCTGCCTGAAAGGACGAATCCTCGATTTTGGTGGGGCTGGAGGTGAAACTCATCTCTGCCTCGCTGAGGGAGCGGAGCCCTCTCGTGGCAGCGGGGCCGGCTCGGCCCGGAGCTTCCACCTCCATCTCCGGGAGAGAAAACCCGAGAACGGGCAAAATTGGGAGGCCAGAAAGCGCCTTCCATTAACCCACAATGACCCGGCTTCCTCTGCTCGGTTGTGCTGCATCTCCTTTGCTGTTCCTCACAGCACGGCACAGCCTTTCCTCTGCCCTGAGCTAAAAATACAGTCGTGTCCTGTCACATTCATATTTACTGAAAAATCCCTTTGCCCAGGATTTCTCTCCCGGGAAGCTGAGAAGCCTCAGAGAAAAAAGAAAACAATATTATCTCATTTGCTTCTCCTGTGTTTTGCTCCTTTGGAATGTGGTTGGAGATTGTTTATCCAACAAGTGATTATTTCATTGGTTTCATGTGAATTATTTTGACTTATTGTCCAATCAGGGTCAAGCTGTGTCAGACTCTGGAGAGCGTCACAAGTTTTCATTATTATCTTTTTAGCCTTCTGTAAGTATCCTTTCTGTATTCTTTAGTATAGTTTAGTATAGCATTCTTTAATATAATATAGTATCATAAAATAATAAATTAGCCTTCTGAGAACATGGAGTCAGATTCATCATTCCTTCCTCACCTTCGTCGGGGGCAACCAGAATACAACAGTGTTCATCTTGCCTTGGTCCAAAGATCCTGAAAGAGTCCAGAGCTGCTCCATGGCATTGCTCTGAGCAGTGCAGCCACCCCCCTGCCTTTTACAACAGATTTTTGTGATTATGCCTTGGAGGAACCAAGTGTTAGCAGGCAAACACAGCTCTAGCCAAGAGAAGTTTTGGCTCAGGAGCCTCCATCAGAGCTGAGGACCACAGACTGTGATCCCTGCCAGGCACAGCCGGGGCTCTGTGCCAGCGGCAGAGAGACAAGGGACAGGGGGCTTCTCTTGGTGCTACCCAGAAGACAAAGCCACCCTCCCCCCCAAAACATCATTTTCCTGCAGGGGTGGGAGCAGCTGGGGCAGGGGCACGGTGGGCAGGCGCCAGCCCGAGGCAGGTGACAGGGACAGGGCAGCAGCAAGTGCAGGAGCAGCTACAGCGATTTCCCCCTCGTGCTGCCCGCAGCCAGGGGACACTTACTTCCTCCAGCCAGGGACATGAGGATGGCCAGGGCCAGCAGGGTCTTCAGGGCAGGCATCCTCAGCAGTGTGCAGTGTGGGGTGGGTAGCTGCTGTTTTGTCTTAAGGTCTTACAGCTAATCTGCTTGGGAGAGTGCATCGGGGCTGGGCTAATGCCATCTTAGCTGGGGGGACAGGACACAGCTCCCCAAGGACAGGGGCTGGGCAATGGCACGGGGGCACAGCACCACACTGCTGCCAGCAGATGGTTGCTGGGCTCTGCTCCGTATCCTGCTTTGGAAACCATCTCTGGACACAGAACCTTGTGGTGGCTTTCAAAGGTCTTGATCAAGCCCACCTGCTCCATCCAGAGAACAGCCCCTTCTCGTCATGAGTAGCGGCCAAGCTGGGGAAAACCCTTCAGATTTTCCAACCCACCAAAAGAGAAGTGCAAGAGAACAACTGAAAGCCCCTACAGGGCTGGGAGCCCAGTGGAACCATTCCTGCACCCCCCATCCTCCCAGCAGGATTTACCTAAGGCCACAGAGGGACAGTGCAGGGATTAGGCCAAGGATTCTCCTGCCTGCCATCCCGCTGCTGCCTCAGCTCTTCCTGCTGCCTGAGCTCACTGCCATGGCTTAGTACCATCACAGCGTGCTTGGAGTGGAGTTACAGGGCCAGAAAAACCATCCCAGGTTTGAACTTCAGAGCTCAGAAATGCAGATTTCAGGAACAGATGATAACTGTACTTATTTGAAACCAAGTGCCGTGTAAATCACATTAATAAAGACAAAGCAGAACACGGCCCATTCTGGAAGGCAAAGCCAACTCCTCCCAAAACTCTTCACCAACCTCACAAACACCAAGAAATCTTTCAAGAGTGATAAACACAGTTTTTACTCAGGCAATGAAACATGGAAAAAAATATATTAGTAATCATTATAATAATCTCATTTGTGTGAGTATAACTCTTACAAATATTTACCTGACATATAAAAGGGAAATTATCATACATATAAAACCGATGGCGATGGCAGTTACACACATGGCTGGAAGCAGAGGGGAAGGAGCCAATGCAGAGGAAGTTCCTGCCTGGGGGAGGCCACACTGGAGGGACGGGGGAAGAGATCAGTAGTTGGGGGTTACTGGTTGGCACTTGGTTACAGACAGATCTGCTGGCAAACACACACTGCAAACAGCAACACGGCAGCAGGGGCAGGGCCCGCCGCTGCCAAAAGAGCATTTAAAGTCTACTGCAAGGAACAAACACAGCCAGCTGTGACAGCACACACAGGGACCTGCCATTCCCTGTGCCAGTCACGGGGACACCACCAGCTCGGCGTGTGTGCCACCACCTCGAGGTGCAGCCACCCTGCCCGCTGGCAAACACACCTGCTATCTGATATCACTGCAGCCATTATGTATTTATATATATATATGTAACTATAACCATATTATAGTTAATAAATCATTCCGTAGGAATCTTCTTTGCCCAGGCTGGGGTGCACACGGACGGGCACAGGAGAGGGTGAGGGGAGGTGGCACGGCAGGACTGGGTGGCACTGGGGACAGGGACAGGAGGGATGGACTGTGCCCCATGGGTCATCACAGTGCAGACAGCCCACAGGGGAAAGCTGCAGCAGTGACTGCTGTGTGCAGGTCGGGGCTCTGGGGAAGTGACCAGTGGTGAAATCTAAACTTCTGCAATTGTCCATCAGCTCCAAGGGCCAGAGCCATGCCCCAAGGAGAGACTGACCTCAGAAATCTGAACTTCTGCAATTGTCCATCAGCTCCAAGGGCCAGAGCCATGCCCCAAGGAGAGACTGACCTCAGAGTGTCTCACCTTGAGTGAGAACAGCACATGAGTACCACAGCTCCAAGCAAAGCAGAAGGCTGAGGGCTGCCACAGTCCCCACCTGGGACTGCTCCAGCAGCACCCTGGCAGGGCAGGGCAGTGCCCCAGGGCCCCAACCAGAAACCAGCCCTGTCACCAGCTCTGAGAGGTGATGCAATGCTGCACTCTGCTTCCTCAAGAGGAAAAGCCAACTGGCCCAGAAATCTCGGGGTCTCAGGGGTTTGCTTTACCTGCACAGACTCCCCAAGGGGAACAGAAATATCCTTGCTGATCTTATGGTTGAAGCTTTTTCACCAGCCCAGGAGGGGACATGTGGGGAGGTCAAGGGGGTTAAAAAGAAAGGGGGGAAAAAGGGTTTTTCTTTTCTGTCAGCTGTGCAAAGGGTGAATATCCAGCACAAGGAACAGGTGCACTGCTTTGAGTGGTGTCAGCCACTGGCTTCTGTGACCAGTCTGTCACTGGGATAACTGGGGATGTGGAGAACAGGCTGGGAAGCTGTGTGCTGGGGCAGGCTGCTGACACCTTTGCTTAAGTGTAGAATAAACTCTCTCTATATTATATAACTAATAAAATATAATCAAGTGTATGGCTCTGGCTTAAACAGGTGTTTGCTCTGCATGCTTGACACAGGGAATTAGAAAATAGAAGGAAAAGAGCTCAATTCTGTTACAAAAAGGTAGCAGCAAAAAGGTTTGTGAAAGTGTTCAACAGGCTGGGCAGGAAACAGTCCATACTGCAAGTATTTCCCTTATTTCACACCTATCCATTCAAGGCAGAGAATCCTCCATCACTGCAGCTACTGCAGTACCCACGAGGCAGCTCAGGGTTCAATTCCTTCCTCCTGCAGCCTCTGAAACGGAGCCCTGATCTCACCATGGCACAGGGAGTCACAAACATGGCCCTGGCTTCGCACGTGTCCAACAGCAGCTCACCCAGGGGACCAGGGCCATGGGGAGGATGGAGCAGGACCAACATCTCCCCTGCTTCTCAAACACCTCTTGGTGCAGAAACCTCCTGCCTCCCCTCACCTGGGCTCTCCCTGGAGAGGACTGAAGTTGCTGCAGGTTTTGTGACTGTTCAGTGCTCTGGGGGGAACAAGTCATGCCTGCCTGGAAGGAGTGAGCAGAGAGCCCAAGTGCCCATAAATGCTCATAAAGTGCACGAATGCAGAGATGTCAGCTCCCTTCCTCCGAGGCTGGCACAGCCAGGGACAGGGAGAGGCTGTGCTGTGCTTCACCCACCAACCAGAGACCAGCCATCCCCGTGCCAGGTGCCCTTCCCCAGTGCCAGAGCCAGCAGGTCCACCCCTGCCATCACCCACGTCCCAGGGCAGCACCTACCAGTGGCTGGACCTGTTCTGCTGAGCCCGTGAGGACAATCAGTGACAGAGAGTGCAGTGGGGACACAACCAGAGCCAGCCCAACCAAGGGGCACAGAGCCCGGGGTGTCACCTCCTGAGAGGTGGCATTGGTGCAGAGGGACAGGGTGGCAGGCCCTGGGAGGGACACACAGACCCAGCCCAACCAAGGGGCACAGAGCCCAGGGAGGGACACCCAGGTCCAGGCTGAGCACAGGATTCCCAGGCTGACTGCAGGGATCCCAGCCCGGAGCTGTGGGAAGCAGACAGGGACAGTGAGGGGAGCAGCCCTGCTCAGGAGCCACAGGTCTGGCAGCCAGGGGGGCAGCTGGACACGTGAGCTTTCCTGCAGGGACTCCGGGGTAAGGCAAGGTGCTCAACGTCACGAGAAAAGCAGCCAAGTGCAGAGTGCTGGGCGAGGGGTGCTGAGGCTCAGTCTGACTTTCCCAGTTTCGCTATCAGCTCGTCGCAGATCTTGGTCAGCTCCTCAATCTCCTGGTTCTGGAAGAAAAGCAGATCTTGGGGACCCCTGTGGGGAGTAACACCAGGGCCTATCTGCCATCAAGCATGTGTGGGAAAGGGCAGGCAGCTCCTACACGTGCCCCTGCAACAGCTCCTCTGTGCTCCAGGCACTGCGTGGAGCTCTGTGCTCACCCCTCCTCATCCCAGTCAGACCTCGGTGCTGCAGAGATCTGCAGCAAGCCAGCCCCAGCCCACACCTCTGCAAACAGGCACACGTAAGCCAGCAATGCCCATTCTGCCCAAAAAATCCAAACCAACCCCACAAAATACAAAAAAAAAAAAATCAAAGCAAACAAAAAAAAAAATATTCCAAAAACCAAAAAACGCCTTCTGGACCAAAAATCTGGAGGACACCTCCAGCATCAAGAGGATGCTCAGGGCAGCAAGAGGAACTGCTGGCAGGGCTGCAGAGAGGCAGGGGCAGGTGTGTTACCTTCTGCTGCAGGGTTCTCTCCAGGGACTCCACCTTCATCTGCTCCTTGCGCAGCCCCGCGTGCAGCGCCGCGCTCTCCGCCTTGGCCTTGGTGCGCACCTGGGCGATCTCCTCGTTGGCTCTGGGGGACACAGGGGGACAGAGGCCAGCTCAGGGGGACAGAGGCCAGCTCAGGGGGCAGGCAGGAGCCCCACAGCACACTGCAGCAACTGCAGAGCCTGGCTCTGCTCGCCTGGCTACAACAGAGGGGGTTTGCCCCTGTGGAACTGGATGAAACTGGGTTAATGCAGCTCCTCGAGCCCCTGTATGAAGCTCTGCTCTTTCAGGGCCAAGCTAAACCTGCTCACCACCCACTTCACTCAGGGTTCCACGTGCTGCTGAGCTCCTGCTCATCAGCTGAGCCCCAGGGCTGTGCAGCCCCCTGGTGCACCACAAACAGGAGCACTCTGAAAGCTGGGAACTTGGTAAGTGACCATAAATAGACCGTGAACCTCAGGTTCTCCATTAAAAAGTAAATAAGCAGAGATCAGAGAGTGCATTCAGGGATTTGCTCTGCCTTGCTTAGAGACACTTGAGCCTGAGGTTGTAAAATGCAGCTTTTCACATCATTCAGCTCCTGCCTTCCAGCCTCTGGAAAGCAAATGAAGCCGCTTCCCTACAAGGTCTTGAAGCACCCAGCAATCTCATGCATGACCTTACTTGTCTAATTTTTCTTCTGCGTGGACTTTCAGGGCCTGGTACCGCTGCTCTTCCTGCTTGACACGGGTTAGATAATCTTGAGCACATTTCTTCAGAGCTTCTTCATTCTGGAAAAGAAAGTACATCCATCTGCATTGGGACTGGGCACAAAGATGACGTGATACTGTTCTGAGTGCAAGAAAAAAAGTTTTTAAAAAACCCAACTTCTGCTTTATGCTGGAGCCCCTTATCCAGCTCAGCAGCATAGAAACATGGAGTGTGACTGCCCAGGAGCCCTGTGTCCAGGGACCAGAGCTGCAGGGAGAAAGGGCAAACCAAGGTAAAGACCTTCTTAAATCCTTCCAGGACGCCCTTCAGGTTTTCATATCTCCTGAACAGATCTGACAGGGATCTCTCCACCGAGTTCAGGTCTGCCAGAGCCTGGTCCTTTTCCATTGTGAGCTGCTGCAGGTTCTTCTGAGATGTCATGTTTGTCCTCTGCTCATCCTCTGGGATGGAGAACCAACACCAAGGACACAGTGATTGAGTGGGGACAGCTGTGGCAGCCAGCTCCCTGCCCCACACACCTGGCCAGGTGACAGCACCTTACCTATCATCTGGGCAATGGTCTTTTCATACTCAGCCACGATTTTCCTTGAAGGAAGAGAAAAAACAAACAGGTGAGAGGCCACTGATTGTGGGGACATGCACCTCCAGCTGTGCTGGCAGCAATGTGCCCCACAGGAGGCTCTGCTGGCCCATGCCCTGTCACCACTGCACCCCCACAGGAGCATGGTCACAGGGCCCAGATGTTGGGGCTGCAACCCAGATGTTGGGGCTGCGCCACCCATCAGCACTGCTTCAGACCAAATCCTGCCCCTGCCACTGGGGCTGGCACAGCTCATGGGATTTGATTTCTGCAGCAAAGGAATGAGCAGGACACAGCACCAGCAGCAAGAGAACATTGACACAGCACCGAGAGAACATTGACACAGCACCAAGAGAACACTGACACAGCACCAAGAGAACATTGACACAGCACTGAGAGAACACTGACACAGCACCAAGAGAACACTGACACAGCACTGAGAGAACATTGACAAAGCACCAGCACTAAAAGAAGTCTCTGCCAAGACACCCCACCCTGGTGAGGCTGACCTGTGTCACCCCTCACTGTGTCACCCCTCACTGTGTCACCCCTCAGCCTCCTCCTGCCCGGGGACAGCTCGTACCTCATCTCCAGCACTTCCTGCCGGCTCTCCTCGTATTTCTTCTTCCACTCGTTGGCCTCGATCTCCTTGGTGATTATCTGGGTTGCAGCAGACAGAGGACCCTTGGGATGTGCTCTGAGGGGTTTCCCCTCTCTGTCCCATGCAGGGAATCAGATCCCCCCTCCTGGGCAGAGCAGAGCTGCCCCTGCTGCCCTGGGGTGAGGGGCAGTGAGGGGCAGCCCAGGGGACAGGGACAGGGCTGTTCCCTCCTCTCTGATGAGTGAGGGACAGCCCCAGGGGACAGGGACATGAGGGGCAGCCCAGGGGACAGGGACAGGGCTGTTCCCTCCTCTCTGATGAGCAAGAGGCAGCCCAGGGACAGGGCTGTTACCTCTGAGGGGCAGCCCAGGGGACAGGGACACGAGGGGCAGCCCAAGGACATGAGGCACAGTCCCAGCGGACAGGGACACCAGGGACAGGGACATGAGGGGCAGCCCCAGGGGACAGGGACACCAGGGACAGCCCCAGGGGCCAGGGCCAGGGCTGTTACCTCCTCTCTGATGAGTGAGGGGCAGCCCCAGGGGACAGGGAGATGAGGGGCAGCCCAGGGGACAGGGACACGAGGGGCAGTCCAAGGATATAAGGCACAGCCCCAGGGGACAGGGACACCAGGGGCAGGCCCAGGGGCAGGGACACAAGGGGCAGCCCCAGGGGACAGGGACACCAGGGGCAGCCCCAGGGACAGGGCCAGGGCTGTTACCTCCTCTCTGATGAGCGTGAGCACGGCTGCCTTCTCGGACTCGCTGAGGCAGATGCCAGCCAGGGGACTCTCGCTCCTGCCCACGCTGGGGCACTTGTCCATGGAGCACAGCCCGGGATTGTCCTGGGGGAATGACCCAGCTGGGATGTTGGGGACGTTCTTTTCACCCCCCATCCTGTTTTATCAGCATCTGCATTTCCCTTCCTGCACACACAGAGCCCAGAGCCTGCATCTGGCAGCTGGCAAGAGCACAGCCCCAGGGGGGCAATATCCCAAAAGGGAGACCCACTAAGGGCCCATTTCAGAAGGAAGAGACCCAGCTCCAAGCACAGACGTGCTCACACCCAACTTCCCTTATGGTTTTAACCCCATGGGGTTAAAAATACCCCCAGCCTAGAGGGTCTCTGCTGACCGTGAGCCACACGTGGGGGTGGTCTGCAAGGGTCTGGGTTGTCTGTCTCCAGCCCCTCCCAGTCAGCACTGCAGCTGACGTGCTCAAATTGCTGCTGGCAGCTGCAGGGACATTTCCTGAGCCTTGCTGCTCACCCAAATGCCCAAGGAAGCTGTGGGGGAAGCAGAGTTCACCCCTCTGCAGAGCAGGGGTCCAAGGAACAGCCCTGCTCACCCCTGGTGCTGCAGGTGTCCAGGAGAGCTCTGAAACAGGAGATGCTGACACAGAGATGCTGGTACCCTCCTGGTGCCATTCTGGGTGCCTCTGCAAGGCCTGGGGTGGTGGTACCCCCATTGTCCACTGCCTCCCTTGCCCAAAGCCCAGCTCCTGTGCCCTGCCTGTGCACAGTGCTGCAGCCACAGGGACAAACTGGGGGCAAGGCTCAGTGCTGGCACTGCCTGCCCCTCCTTTCACCACCCAGACGAGTGACAGCCGTACAGCATCTCCCTGAGAAGGGGCTGCCATAAATAGAGAAGTGCTGGGAGGAAGGAGGCAGCCTGCTCCTCAGCGTTTGGAAACGAGAGCACTGGAGCGCTTCTCCCCTCCCCTCTCCTCCCCCTGGCACTTCAGCTGCTCAGCTGGAGCTCCCCCAGCCCTCCACAGCTCTGCTGTGGCCATGGGCAGAGGTGGGAGCCACCCTGGGGCAGGTTTGGGGCCAGGCACCCCAGCACAGAGGAGGTTCAGCCCAGTGTGCTTTGGCTGAGCCTCCTGCACTATCTCCCAGCAGCAGCTGCACACCTGAGCACCTGCAGGCACCTCTGGGGTGACAGCAGCCTGCCCAGGCTCTGCTGGGCACCAAAGGGAAGGCTCACTTTGCCCCACGTCCTTGTGGGGCTCAGCACAGTTAAATCTGTCTCACAGGGGTTGGTTTTGCTGATGTTGCTAAGCTCATTGTCATCTGCTTGTCAGCTCAGGCAGCTTTGGCCAGGGGCTGCTAGACTGGCACGGGGTGCCCCCGCAGCAGGGAGGGTTTGGGGCTCCTCGGGGCATGTCAGGGCTGTGCCAGCACAGTGGGGCTGCTGCTGGGCTGCCAGGGTCAGCGTGGCTGCTTCTGTGCCCTTCCCCACCTCTGCTGCCAGCTGCCTTCCTGAGGATGGCTGGGGACCCCTCGGAGAAGGCAGCAGCACCCAGGGGCCCTCAGAGCCAGCCCTGGACACTCCACGTGAGACACGATCTGTGCTGGCAGCTCCTGTGCCCTCCCTGTCCTTCAGCCACCCTCCAGGGCAGCCCTGGCTCTGCCCTGCTCCTGTCTGTCCCCAGCATCCCTCCCTCCCTCCCTCCCTCCTTCCTTCCTTCCCTCCCTGCCTCCCCACGAGCCCACCCAGGAGGGATTAGACTCTGCCAGGCTCCTCCAGGCCTGCTGGGAAATCTCTGCTATTTTTATCAAGTCCCTGCGTGGGCTTGTCAAGAATTTTACCTCCCAAAGAAACTCATTTCAGAAAGGAGAAAGCGAGAGGCACTCACAGGGAAGATGCCAGGCCCTCCCTTTTCCATCTGCTTGCAGATCTCCTTTTCAAAACCTGAAGACAATGAAACACAACCTTTAATTGATTTGGAAACAGCACCCTGGGCACACACAGATTTTCTGAGACACAGGAGGGTACCTTTGAGCCTCCCCATCCCCTGAGCTTCCCCTCCCAAAGGCGTCTTTGCCCCTGCTGGAATCATTGTGGTTGGAAAAGCTCCCTAAGACCATGGAGTCCCCAGCAGTGCCAAGGTCAGCGTTAAACCCTGTCCCCAGGTGGCACAAGGTGCACCCTGCCAGCCTTGCAGCACTGCTGCAGTGCAAACCAACACTCCCCTCTGGTGGCAGCTCAGGCTGTGCCCGTGTCCCCAGGGCTGGGACCAAGGGGCTCAGGACGTTCTGCACTCCAGCAGGGAGCTGGGGCAGAGCAGGGCACCAGCCCATGCCAGGCAGCCCCAACAGCCCCCGAAGGACCTGCCACACGGCCCCTGCTGCTCTTAACAGCACAGGAGATAAAAAACATCTCCCCATCTGCAAGGCGTGGGACACCCCAACCTAGGGGACACCCTGACCTAGGGGACACCCCAACTCACAGGAGGGACACCCCGACCTAGGGGACACCCTGACCTAGGGGACCCCCTGACCTGGGGGACGCCCCGACCTAGGGGACAACCTGACCTGGAGGACAACCTGACCTGGAGGACACCCCGACTCACAGGAGGGACACCCCGACCTGAGGACACTCTGCTTCACAGGACACCCTGCCTCACAAGAGGGATACCCTGACCTGGGGGACACCCCGACCTGGGGACATCCTGCCTCACAGGAGGGACACCCCAACTTAGGGGACAGTCTGTCTCACAGGACACCCCAGCCTGGGGACACTCTGTCTCACAGGAGGGACACCCCAACCTAGGGGACACTGTCTCACAGGACACCCTGACCTGGGGGACAACGCCATCACAGGAGGGACACCCCAGCCTGGAGACACCCTGTCTCACAGGACACCCTGTCTCACAGGAGGGACACCCTGACCTAGGGGACACTCTGCCTCACAGGAGGGACACCCCAACCTAGGGGACACCCCGACCTGGGGACACCCTGCCTCACAGGACACCCTGACCTGAGGACACTGTCTCACAGGACACCCTGCCTCACAAGAGGGACACCCCAAGCTGCAGGCACAGTGCTGCCCAATCTGGGAACACCCTGCCTCACAGGACACCCTGACCTGAGGACACTGTCTCACAGGACACCCTGCCTCACAAGAGGGACACCTTGACCTGGGGACACCCTGCCTCACAGGAGGGACACCCCAAGCTGCAGGCACGGTGCTGCCGCACGCAGCATGAGGGGTCATTTATGGGCCACACTCACACAAGTGCAGGCATGATTCGTGTGCTGAGCAGGCAGAGAACAGCATGTTTAGAGCTCAGCTTGGAGAGGAAGGGTCAAGTAACACTGCACACTTCCCACTGCTTCCCTCCACTTATCCCACAGCTCCCACCCCATCCCTGCACAGAGCACCGAGCCCGTGCACCTGCCTGGCCCTCTGAGACCAGCAGCAATAAATAAACCCTCCAGCCTCTCCCCTGACAGTCAGATTTTCCTCCCCTGAGGACAAAGAACCATTCTCCATGGAGCTGGCAGGCAGCACGGCCATCGGGAGAAATGATTAATGGGTTCCTGCAGAGGGGAGGCTGCAACCCCCCCGTGGTGACTTCTCCTGCTTGCACCTAGGACTTGGCTATTGATTAAATGTCAAGTTGCCTGGCTTTTAATTATTTTGTAATGGCTTGGTCAGAGAGGCTAATTACGTGGGAAACTGACGGCAGAATTCCACCAGGAGCAATAATTGGGTCTGTGTAGGCATTATTGAGATCTCCATCAGCCACAGCCCTGTGCCAAGCCCTGGCAGCTCTGCTCCAGACACAGGCTCTAAGCAGGGATCCTGCAGCCCAGGAGTCAGGGCAGGATGCTCTGAATGCTGGACAATTGCTCTGCTCAGCAGTGAGCACTGCTGGCAGGGAACCTCGTGCCTGAGCCACATTCCACTGCAGCACCGTGGGGAGAGTGCTCTGTACCCAAATTCTAAATAAACACAGCCTGGACCATCGTTTTCCATCCTGGAAACAGTGCAGGAAAGCAGTGGGAGGTTGCATTAGAACCTGCAGCAGCCTTTAGCCCTGTCAGTGTAAATGAACTCAGATGAGGCTGCAGCACCAGTTCCTTGCCAGAGGCTGCAGAGGCTCCCTGGGTGCAGTCAGGGTGCATTCCCAGAGCTGAAGGCAAGCAGGATGCTCCTCACCTGCCTCTGGTCTGTGCTTCCCTCCAGACACGGGCACGTTGGAGCACTCAAAGTACTCCAGGTCATCTTCTGCCTCAGCCTTCTTCTCCAGCCCTGCTGGTTTCTGCGTGGAGGTGGTGGAGGCCAACTTCTCCTCATCAGTGGCACGTCCATCCCGGTTGGTAATATCTGGGATTTCTGAGATCAACACTCCTTCATCCTGCAGGACCAAAGCATGCAATTAAGCAAAATCTGCAGGGATCAGGCCGCCAGGTGAGCTGCTGGATACTGCACAGAAAGCTTAAAATCCACAGGCGAGCTGCCCCCCACCAGCCCTCCTCCCTCCCTCCCCATCAGGAACTGCCCACAGGGAAGATGCCAGCCTGAAGCTCAGCCTGCCCAGCTCTCCCCAGCACCCTGTGCCCAGCACCCAGTGCCCAGCACCCTGTGCCCAGCCCACAGCTCTGGGGTCAGACCCCACGTACCTGAGCGCTGATGTCCAGGACCAGGGGCTGCGCCTCGTGCTGCTTCACCTTGCAGCCGCTCCTGCAGGAGAGAGGAGCAGCAGCTGAGGGGGGTTCAGGGGCAGTGAGGGGGATGTGGGGTGCGTGCCAGACAGCCCAAGCAGGGGGAGGCAGTCCCAGCACCAGCGTTGCACCCACCGCGTGCCAGCACCCCACTCACCAGTGAACACCGAGGCAGAGCAGCTTCTGGGAGGAACAGAAGGGACAGGCAAACAAAAGACACGACTACACAGAAGTTGGGTTTGTCTGTGAGGTGTTTATTCCTGAGGAAGGTAAGGAGCAGAGAGAGCAAGGACCCCAAGAGGCTGATGGTGAGAGAGGCACTGCCAAGGCACGGGCACTGAAGGATCTCCCTCGCCCTGCGTGTCCAGCACAACGGCGCCCAGGCTTCGGTGCATGTCAACTTTCTGCGGGAAGAACCACATCCAGGCTGTTTCGTGCCCTGTCCCTGCAGCTGGAAGTTTTTCTGGGGCTTCTTCACAGCATCCACATCTCCCAGGTGAGTAAGGCCCGCTCGGCCAGGGCAAGGTGCTGTGCTTCAACAAACGCTCCGCCTGGCGCAAACGCTGCCCCTCGGGGGGAAGTTTAGCCCAAGGAGGTCTTGCAGGTGGTCTCCTTGCCCTCCAGTGAGGAGGCTGTCCCTGGAACTTCATCCCATGTTCCTGAAGACCCATCCAGAGGCCACCTGTGCAGGGTTGCAGGCACGGCCGCATCCCCCCGCACCGGGCATCAGCCCGGACACAGCAGCGCAGGCACGGCCCCAGTGGGAACGGGTGGCACAGCACGAGCTCTTCTCCTGCATCTCACCCCCTCACACTCCACACTCAGGGACCTCCTGGCCATGTCTGACCCCCAGGAGATGCTTGCTGAGCTGGAACAGCTCGTGTGACAGCCACCGCGGGCACTGGGGAGGGATCCCAGCCTCCAGCCACGGCACTCCCCACGCAGCGACACAGGCAAAGGCTCGAGCAGGGCTGCAGCGAGCTGCTGCCAGCTTCAGGGAACAGCCCCCCACCCTCTGGTGCTGTGCAGCCCCCCCAGCCCACCGCACACGAGCGCAGCAGAGCACGAGGAGCGGCACACGGGGGCTTCTCTGCGCGCTGCCATGCACGCCTGGCTCACACCAAGAATCGGGACTGGTTCTCTCCCTCGTGCCCTGCCACGAGCAAATCCAACTTGTCACGTCCTCACTTTCTTCTTTTCTGCACCCTCTCCTGTGCCAGGGTTTGGCAGATGGTTTGAGCTCCCCCCCCCAGCAGCAGGATAACAGCTCTGGATTGCACCAGCACCTGCTGCCCCTCCTTGAGCTGGAGGTTTGGAGCACTTGTCCACCATCAGAAGATGCTGCAGGGCGGCATGCTGCGAGGACAAGCACAGGCGTGTGCCTCTGGTGCAGCTCAGCCCAGCTCAGCCCAGCTCAGCCCAGCTCTTCTCCCTCACTCCCAGGCACTCACCAGGCCAGGCCACCCTGGGGACCCCGCCGAGGGCTGCGGGACACAAACCAGACAGCAGAGAGCACAAGTCAAAGGGCAGAAGGAGCCAGCATGCCATGGAGACGAGTGGGGCAGCACACACCCAGAGAGAGGACAAAAACAGCAAAGGAAAAGAAAAGGAATACAGGAGAGAGTACTTACAACAGAAAACAGAGAAATTTCACTTGCTCAGTAGTCCTGATGCACCAAAGCACGGACAGGGAGAGAGACAGACAGATGGAGAGAAGAAGAGTGTGTGAAAAGACCTGAAGAAGAGTGTGTGAAAAGACCTGGATGTTAACTCTGCTCTGAGAAGCACGGCGAGCTGCCTAGCTCAGTCTTTGGGAAGGCACACACACACACACACACGGGACACTCTGAGCCTGCCTTTGCTGCCCACAGCAGCGGGGTGAGATCCAAACACAAACCTCGCTGCCAGGGCAATACCCTGCTGCCTGTGCTGCTCCAAGGTGACAGAGAGAGAGCAGAGAATTCCCTGCTGCTTCCCCTCCCCACTGGCTCTGCTCACTCACAGCCACACACCAGCTCTTACAAATTTTTTATCTACTCTGTAAAGTATTTCCTGGACAAAACCACCCAACACAGCCTGATTTTTGCCTGTGAGGTTTTCTCTTTCACTGTAAAAAACCCACTATCTAATTTTCTCACTGGAGAATCCAACAGCAGAGCGAGAGACTGCCTGTCCAACCTGTTCTCTTTCTCTGACATAAAACAGAAACTCAGTGGCAGCTCACCAAGTGTCTCAGCTACATTTGACCAAGCACACCTGCATCCACCAGCTCCTGCACATCCCTAGCAAACACATCAGCTCCAGCCTCCCCTGTGGTTTTCCTCTGACACCACATCTACACCCTGACCCACCAGCTGGACCCCCAAGGGGGTTCCAAAGAGGTGATCCCGCAAGCAGGTCCCAATCCAGCCTTCCCCTGGGACTCAGGACACTGGCACTGCTCCAGAACACCGCTCCCTCTCCTCCCACCAGCGCTACTGACAGGCACAGGAGGATAAAACTGAGCCACCAGCAGAACCTGGGGTGCACAGCAGCACCTGGGGCTCGCTCAGGAGGCACCACCAGGGCAGGAGCACCACCATCACCACCACTAGGGCAGGAGCACCACCACCACCATCACCACCATCACCAGAGCAGCTCTGCCTGCCCCTGGGGAGCACAGGGGGGCTGCAGCCCCAGCTCTGACACACTGGCACTCACGTTATCAGGCGTGACTTGGGCTTCTTGGGGGAGTCTCTGCCTTTCAGGGCATCGTCCTGCATCTCCAGTGTCTGAGATTCCAGGATTTCATTGAGGCTGTTATCTGCCGTGGAGCAGGAGTCAGCGTTGGCGCTGGCAAGCGTCTTGGTGGGCTTGAACGGATCCATGGAGTCAAAGTTATTGGGGTCAAACTGGTAAGAGCCCTTGGGGAGAACTGGAGAATTCTGCAGCGCTGAGCTGCCACTGAGAGAGCTGAGGCCAGGGCTGTCCCAGCCCGTGGGACCCGGCTGGCAGGAGCCCCGGGGTGGGGCTGGCTCTGTGGGACCCCTCTCTGCATCCTCAGCTGCTTTCTTGGGGGACTCTCTGTGTCTCTTCGGTGTCAGCTTGCTGGCTGGGATCCTGCTGCCCCTCCTGGGTGAAGCTGGCTTGGCCTCCACGCTCTCTTTAGCCTCTGTACAATCAGCCCCACGTTTTGGGACCTGCCCTGGGGCCTCCAGAGCCGGGTCCCCCCCCAGCTCACCAGGATGGGGAAGGCGTTGTGGGGCTGCTGGGGCAGAGCTCTGCAGCTGGCAGACCCCTGCCACAAAGGGGCTCACACTCCTGTCATGCTGCTCAGGCTCACGCTGGGTCTCCTCTGCGCCTTCATCTGCTTTCCTCCCCAGTGAAGGTGTTTTCCCCTTCCCGAGCTGCTCCTGGCCCAGGGCATCAGCCCCCAGCTCCACCAGCCCCGTGCCAGGGTCCCCTCCTGGCATGGCCCGCTCCCAGGGGGCTGTGCCCACATGGGGCAGGGGGGCTGGCTCCCCAGCAGCGTGAGCAGGGTCAGCCTGGCAGCCCAGCCCGGCCAAGGGCTGCATCAGGGGTGAGCTGTCGGGGTCAGTTTCCCCTTTAGCATCCAAACTGGCTTTAGGGGCTCCAATCTCTGCTTGAGCCTCATCTTTGGGGTGCTTCCCAGGTGAGCTGTCCCAGTGGGGTTCCCCTACCAGCAGGTCACCATGGCCACGTGGCTCTGGAAAGATAAAAGGAGATGGTTAAACCCTGACCTGCAGTGCACTCCTCTCAGAAGGGCTTCCTGCTCCCTCCTCACAGCTGCTCCAGGGTTGGATTTTATGGGGGATCCACTGAGTCAGGACTCAGCTTCCCTCCTGCCACACCACAGGGAGTCACTGCTCGCTTGGGCAGAGTTAAAAATCAGTGAGAAGAGCTCAGGGACGCACAGCACGAGACAACACCGCAAAATGTGAACCAGCAGGCCCCAGGGAGAAGGGGAATGGGAAGGTGTGCTCAGTGAAGGAGCAGAATCTGGCTGCAGGAGGGATCTGGGGGTCACCCAGCACTGGGGCTGCCCTGCTGGACGTGCACCAGGCAGGAGAAGCTGCCCCACAGGAGCTCCTCTCACCTGCAGAAATCCTGCTGTAGTCACAGCAGGCTCTCCACACTGCTGTCAGCATCTGCTAATGACAAATCCTGATCCATGGCTTAATCACCGTTACTCCAATCCTTTCCCCTCAATCCTTTTACTGTTTAATCTTTTCTTTGACATCAAGGGATGGAGAAGATCCTTTATCTATTAGGGCACCCTGAAAGCTGCACCCACCGAGCACCCAGAGCCAGGCTTGTGCTGCAGGTGTGCCAAGGCACGAGAGGAAAACATCAGGTGCTTCTCCTGCCCCTCAACCAGGCACAATGCTCAGACTCCTGGGAGAAGGTGAGACAGGATGCTGGCATGCCCAGCACCCACCAGGGAGCAGGTGGAACCTGCAGCCCTCACAGGCTCCTTTCTGGGGAGACACAGTCAGCCACGTCCTCCAAAGGCAGAGCAGAACCAGTGCTCTCCCAAGGACCAAACTGGCTTGAAAACCTGTCTGCAAAGAGCAGCCTGGGTGATGAAGAGGAAATCTGCCTGTCCCTGCCCCAGCCCTGCCCTGGCATAGAGGTGACAGCTGGAGTCACCTCGAGCATCCCCCCTGTTTGGCAGGGGGACCCCAACCAGCTGCTCCCACAAACCCCCATCCCCGAGCTCCCAGGAGAGGTTTTTCCTATCACCAGGCATTTGTAACTGGCTCATGTGTGCTGGTAACAGATCAAGCCACAGGCTGGCAGAGGAACAGGGAATCAGGCAAATATCTGGTCCCAGGACTAATCCAGGACGTGGAGCCAACAATCCTGACTCAGTTGATGGCTCGTGGTTAGCATAATTGATCCCCCAGGATGCTAAAAGCCATGAAAATGAATCATGGGGGTCTGTGTCCTCCCTGAGACTGCAAAAATGCTTCCTCTGACTGCAAAAAAAAAGCTCCCTCCAAGTAGAAGTTGCCTTGATGCCCCAGAAAATGCATCAGTAAACACAAATCCAGTGGATGAGTACTTGGAGTGCAGCCAGGAAACAGTCTGAGGCAGAGCCTGGCAGGCCTTCCCATCATTAGGAACCAGGAAAACCTCCTTAACAGACCCCAAAGAAAACTTTATTACACTTGCTGTGCTGCTCAGCTGTTTGAAGCCTTCCTGAGACAGCCCTGAAAAGAAGAACAGACTTCAAAGCCAGGGCAAAAGGACTATTTAAGCGCATTTTGCGTTCCCAGCAGAAGGTTTGGCAGCCGCCGTTCTCACAGACATGAGCCCATCCTGGTTTCTAACCCAAGCAATGAGTAATTACTCCTTGAATAACAAGCAGCCAGCACACAAACTGCCTCTCCATGCCCTGGTGTCTGCAGGGTGGGGAGGAAGGGAGCGTGGTGCATGTGGCCGTAGCTCAGAATTGTTTTCCCACAAAAATCAGAAGAAGCACCCACCCAGGTTCTGCAGTTTTGTGATCCCCTGGTTTTCTGCAGCCAGGAGTGCTCAGCCCCTCAGCCCCTCCCGCAGCCAATCTGAGAGCTAAGGAACTGGGATATACTGGGAGGCAGCAGGCTCAGGTGCTCTCTGACGGCTTTGGAAATCTTTTGCAGCAGAAATATCCCTCCTGCAAGCTCGGGGGGGTTTCCCCTAGTTCCTCCCCCTCTGCATTTCTTCTGCCTCAAACACAGGAGCTGGTTCCTGCAGGAACAATTACACAGGATGCAGAAAGCCTGAAGGGCGTTCCTTGGGGTGCACAGGGAGAGCCAGGCTATGAGCCCAGCCCTGGTGACACCTCAGAGCAGCCCTGGCTCCCCCCACGGAGCCCTCCCCAAGCCCTGCACGCTGCCTGCAGCTCTCCCTGCTCCTCCTGAGCTCTCCCCCAGCCCCAGGCAGTCACGTTGTGAGCAGCCGTGCTGGCTCCGCACGTACTCCCTCCTCTCGTGCCTCCTGCCAGGGAAACCGGCTTGTCCCCCACTCCTGCAGCTGTCCCCCAGCCCTGTCACTGCTCAAATCCTCCTTCTGGGACAAATCTGTGCTGAACAGCCCAGGAGAAGGTGGGCTGGCAGCCACGGAGCACACGCAGCTCTGCCTCTTGGACCAGCCAGGCATCCCAGCAGATGCCTTACTGCAGCATCCTGGAAAGATGACCCTGAGGTGTCCCTGAGGTGACCCTGAGGTGTCCTGTTCACCCCTGGCACTGCACCCTGCAGCAGGGGACAGCTCAGGAACATGGACACTGTCAGAGCATGGCACACACAGCGACCCCAGGGTCTGTCCCAAACACACACCCAGCACAGGGCACGTTGGATCTCACCCACACCCGCTGTCCTGGCTGTGCTCAGGCAGCAAACCTGCTCCACATCCAGCTGAGTACCTGCAGGGGATGCTACAAAGCGAAAACAGTGTTTTTTGGTTTTTTTACTTTCTAAAAGAAAAGCAAGCAGGACAGTCTGGCACCGCAGTAATAGACACGTTGTGCCTCTGCATTATAATTGCTTTGCTCGTCTTTCTCGGGCTGAAATTAAACACAAATACTGACTTAAAACAGCTTTCCAACGTGCCATCCCTCCAACGAACCAGGAGCACTTGGCAGTGCTGCCAGGCAAAGGCTCAGAGCCCTTTCCATCCCTTTCCATCCCACAGGCAGCGATCCCTGTGCCAGAACAGCCCCTCTGCACTCAGCTCAGGGCTGTGAGTCACACACTTCCCTGCCTCAGCACAGGATATCTGCCCCACACACCCAGCTCAGCCCTAGATCACCAACACTGCTTTCCGTTTGTGTCTAACAGCCCTTGATCTATTTTTAAATCTATTCTGTTAAGAATTAGCATACCGGCAGAGGGAGGGAGGATGCTGCTAACGCACCGGAAAACACGTGCCCTGCATCAGGGCAACGGCAGCTCCCAGCACTGCTGGCTCTACGTTTGCTGCTTCTGCTCATTTCCTTGAAAATGCAAAATATCTGCTGCAGGTAACTCGAGCAAGAATGGGATGGAAATAGTCCCACCATCCGAGACCACAAGAGGAAATTGAGTGATCCTCAGTGGGCACAAACCCTCACTGTAGCCCCCTCCAGGGCTGAATTTTTGTCCCCAAGGACAGGGTTTAACACATCAGGTCACCTCTTGGCTGTGCATGGAGCAGCCAGCCCTGGAGTCACAGCTTCTGTCATTCCTCACCCTATTTATTCCCAGGGCAGGGTGAGACTGCAGCTACACAGCAGAGAGTGCTGGCTCCTGGCTGTCCCTCAAGGATTGCCTCCATGCCACTGCTGCTCCCGAGCTGCAGCCAGCCCCAAGGGCTGGGGCTGCTGTGCAGCAGCAGAATGCAAAGATGAGGCCTTAACACAACGATTGCACTGGTGCTGTGACAGCCCAGGGTGCCTCTGCACGCTGCAAACCCACCCACACCCGGGCAAATCCTTTCTCTCCACCATTCCTGACGAACTGAACAGACACAGCCAGGGGCAGGGGCAGGGAAGGGCTGGAGCCAAGTGTGGTGGCACCACAGTTTGGCTCTGCCCGCTCTGACATCCCACTCTCTGCCAGCCAGCACAGAAAAACAGCTTTTGCTGGAGATCATGCCCCTGTCTCCAGAACACTGGGAGCTTTGTGTGCAGGAGCAGATACTCCCTCGCTGCTGAGCAGGAGATGCTCATCCCAGGACAAGGGGAACAGTGACACCCCAGAGTCTGAAGCAATGTGCTTCCCTAGGCTGTGCCAGAAATGATCCTCCTACCTGCTAGGAAAGTCTTTATCTCTCCCCCCTCTTCCCAGGCATTATCCCCAAAGTAAAGATGTTTCTATCATCCCTTCTTAAAAGGATTATTCCAAGAGCTGTGATTATTGGAAGCACGAACAGAGCACTCCTTCCATCACAGCAGACAAACAGGAGTTTTCCACAGGGATGGACAAGTACCTAGATCCACCCCAAAGCAGAGCAACACCACAGGAGATGGAGAGCCACAGCATCCTGTGCCTGGGCTTCTGCACAGAAGGACCCCACAGAAGGTCTGGACCGAGCCCACTGCTCTGAAACCAGCCCCACAAAAAATTCTCAGCCACTGCTGCATTGAAGGAAAGCACAACGTTGCACATCAGTACCAGGGTCTGCAGCATGAGAGGCAGGAGAGGGCAGGGAATGCTCAGGACAGCCTGTCCAGGACTGCCTGACCCACCACAAACTGCCCTGTGCCTTGGAGAGGCTGCTCTCGTGCACAGCACCCCAGGGCTCACAGACACCCTGGCACTGCCCAGCCACTGAGAGCACGTGGAAGGGGAGATCTCCTCCCTGCCCTGCCCTGATAACCCCTGTGGGCTGTTGGCAGCAGTGCCAGAGCTTCAAGGCTTCCTCCCAGCAGCACAAAAACAGAGATAAACACCAAGATCAGCCATGGGCACCAGCACAAACTCCTGAAGAGGAGGGAATGGAGACAGTGGGGAGCTGGAGCTCAGAAGGCCAGGGGCTAATGGGGAGCCACACTCAGGGGAGCAGCAGCAGTGTGGGATACAGGGATAAACCTGCAAAAGAGCTCAGGACCCACCAGCAAAGGAAACCCCACACAGTTAGAGCAGATCCCCTGCAATTTCTCAAAAAATGGGGTTTAGCAGCATTGAGCTCTTGCATCTTTAACAGCAGCTACTCAGTGAGGACACCTGGCACCTAACTCCAAGGAAAAATGGTCTGTGCAATGAAATCCCCACCACTGACCAGCCTGGGGGACACAGACCTGGCATCTTGCCACTCCTGTACAGGAGCCAGGGGTGAGTGACACATGAGAAAGGTCCCACCAGCCAGCAGCAGTCAGGGCAGCCCCCAGGCTGCAGAGGAAGTGTCAGAGGAACGTTTAACTGATAAAGCAATTCACCAGCACCCTGGGATTCCTCCCAGTCAGCCCATCACAGCTCTTTGTGGAGCGCCCAGCCCAGCCCTGGCATTTGAACTGCCCAGGCCATTAACCACCAAAAGTGTGCCAGGCATTACTCAAAGTCAGGGAATTTTACTCCTTGACCCCACCCTGCCTTTCTGCCAGCGGAGCAGAGCACCAAGAGCAGAAGGAGCAGAAGGAGCACGCTGGCTCTTTACCTTGGGTCCCGGCCTCAGGCTCCGGCGGTCCCGGTGGCTCGCAGAACTCCTTGAGAGGCGAGCAGCTCGGTGTTTCTGCTTCTGGGGTCTCAAAATTATCAGTGGAGTCCGAGCTGCCGGGGGGGGGGGCGGGAGGGAAAGAGGGTAGCAAACGGAAAAGGGAGAGCAGGTGAAACATCAGCCCTGTGCACCCCAGCCCTGCCGGAGGCCTTCTGCCAGGTGGCTCCCGGGCTGAGCACACAGCACGGGCCTCCGAGGACATGCAGCCCCGCAGCAGCAGCATCCCGGAGGCTGCGGCGGGGAGCGATCCCGGCTGCTCCGGCCCTGCGCTCCCCAGCATCCTCCGGGAAGCAGCTGCCGGCCCCCCCCCCAGCCCCCGGCGCGGTGCGGGGATCCCCGGCAGCCAGGCAGCGAGCGAGGGGAGGATGGGGAGAGGGCCGGGGAGGGCGCGCCCGCAGCCCCGCATGGATGCGGGCACCGCGGGAGGGCGGGCGGGGAAGGGGCCGCGGGTGACTTGCCTGAAGCCGAGGGCCGAGCCCCCCGCCGGCGGCTCCCGGTCCTCCTCCTCATCCTCGTCCTCGGCAGCACCGGCCCCGCCGTCCCCCTCCTCGGGGCTGCCCCCGCCCCGCACCGCCGACCAGGTCCAGCGGGCCCACTGCACCGGCGAGAGGATCTGCCAGGCGCTGAACGCCATCGGCCCCGCTTCCCTGCGCTCCCCGGCGGGCTCACTGCGGCCCCATAGCTCCCCGCTCCGCTCGGGCCGCCCGCCCCCGCACCGCGCCACTGGCGGCGGGGAGCGCC